ATTGGGACTAGGGTAATTAACAAGTGATTTTGATGGTTCAGGTGAAAGATGATAGTGGCATAGAACAGAGTGGTGGAAGTTCGTTGGAGAGAAGGGGATGAAAAAGTCCCAATGGGACTTGGACTTGTTAATGGATTAATGGTAGGAGGTGAGGGAATGAGGAACCAATAGCAAGCTCTCTAGAGAAGTGCTATCCAGTAGAATGTTCTGTGTTGATGGATATGTTCTGTATCTTACTGTATAATGTGGTAGCTACTAGCTACAGGTGGCTGTTGAGTACTTTAAATGTGGCTAGTAAAACTGAGAAACTGACATTTTTAAAATTTTTATTTAAATTTAAATAGCCACATGTGGTAAGTAGCTAGTATATTGGAGATAGTAGCTCTCAATTTTTGTTTTGAGTAACTGGGTGGCTCATGGTGCCATTAATTGAAAAAAGGGAAAACTAGGGCATGCTGATAGCTAGAAATCAGCAGCTTTTCTTTGGACATGTTGATTTGAGATCCTTATGAGGCCTTTGAGGTTTATCATGTAGATAGGTGTATGAATAGTGTGGAGTTCCAGGTGAGGCCAGAGCTGGAAATGTAGGTTTTGGAGACTCAGTATATAGGGGTTATTTAGAGCCAAGAGACTGGGATGGGGTTGCTTAAGTACAGCATGTAGACAGAGACTAGAAGAGGGCCCAGAAATAAGCCCTGGGCACCCCAGCAGGTGCTTTGTTCTCCTTCTTCAGTTGTACAGTCCCAGATATATTTCAGCAACTCTAAAAGAAGGCAACGCCAAGTCACATCCAGATGTGCAGATGGGACAGATCCAGAAATAAACAGGCAATAGAATTAGTATACAGGGACATCAAAATTAGTATACGAGGACATCAAAACAGCTATTAAAATATATATTTCATATGTGGAAGAAGATAGAGGAAGTATGAGCATGATAAGGGGAGATAGAGAGATATAAAAAAGCCCCAACTCTAACTTCCAGAAATGAAATATGTAATGTCTAAAGGAAAAGCATAAAGGACAGGATTAACAGCAGATTAGACACTACAGAAGAAAATATTATTAATTAAAGATGTAACAATAGAAAATATAAAAATGCAACACAGGGAGAAAAAAAGAATAGAAAACAACCTCTGCAAACGAACAGAACACCAGTAATCTTGTGAGACAATTTCAAGTGGCCTTCTCAGGAATTGGTAGCAGCAGGTACATCTGGAAATGAAGGAAAATGTGGAAGTAAAAACAAAGAAATTAATTTAAAGTCAGTTTGTTTGTTTGTTTGTTT